AGATCACTTTCCCCCACCATTGCACTCGGCGTTCGAAAAAGTCTCACTTTTTCGGGCGCAACTTCAGGCCGAATGCCCCGCAGATGCCGAGGACGTTGGCCAGTAGGCCCAACAGTTCGTCCTCGGCGGACGCATACCCCAGAAGGTCGTCAAGCCAGCCGAGGACCCCGTGAAAGAGGAGGTCACCGAACATTTGATTCACCGCCGCCTGGCAAAAAGGCCACGGCGTCGGTGCAGCCCATCAGGACTCGGGTGGGGGTATAGATCCCCATCGGCGTCATGAAGGAGAACATCTCCTGGCTGTTGGGATGCAAGGGCAGCTGCCAATAGCCCTTCATCCAATCGAGGTTGAATTACACGGACGTGCCGGCCAGCATCGAAAGAGCCGCGTCCAGGTTGGGCATTGGCCACGGCATCGGCTCCGCGCAAGCGTTCACCGGGCGGCTGTCGATGGTCATCCTGTAGTCGCCCGGGTCCTTCTTGGGGACGATTCGCGGGGCTCATGCCCACCTGTACCGGTTGTTTCGGTACACCAAGCCGGCCCGTTCCAGCTCCGCCACGTGTCCCTCCAGGTATTCCATGTGGAGGGGCGGGTACCGCCTCAATTCACATTTGACCGGGACCGCTCCAGGCTTGACTCGGACCCGGAGCGGCTCCACCTTGATCGGGGGGTCCCCGCCCATCTCCAGACGGAACACATCGATGTTCTCGCTGAAGAGCTGCTTCGAGGAGACCTCTGAAAGGCCCTCCTTCTCCGCCTTGTTGATCTTCGCGGAGAGCACCTCCCACACCTCGGCCTCTTGTTTGGCATTCTCTGCCGGCGTAACGGCGCCCGGCAGGGGTGTCGCACATTGCATGCCGTCATCTTCATCGGCGGTGTCTTCGAGCTTCGTCTGCATCAGACGGTTGATGCACGCCATCGCTGTTGGCGCCGGGGAGTCTGTGGCCAGAGCATCCAAGTCCCAGACGGCGGCCTGCTTCCGGGCCGCCGCCAACACCCCGTCGGCCTAATAGCCCAGGGCGTTCATGACCGGGCGCCCGACGACGAGCTCGGCCTTGTCCTTGACAGCGTCGTCAACCCACAGGTCCAGGCCGCGCAGAACAAGTGGTCCGTAGGAGGTTTGAAACTCCACGGAATTCAGCTTGACCTTCTTGGTCACCGTGACGGGTGGGGTGCCGGCGCCGTAGGGTTGGAGCTCCAGTGGGCGCCTGGCGTCCCGCATGGTCACACTCGCTCCCGCCGCCAACAGCGCGGTCACCAACCCCAACGATCCGACAGACGTGTCGGACCCCGAGTCGAACAGGGTGGCCTCCAAGGGCAGGACACCCTCGACGACGCACGCGAGCTTCGGGCTTGGGGCCACCTCGGCCTTGACTTCGAGGGCGTTGACTTTCTTCGCGCCACCTTGGTTGCGGTCGGGGTTGGCTCCGGCACCACGGCCCGCGGCATCGCCAGGTGTCTTGCCCCCGGCAGAGTCACCGCGCCCGGCTCCTCGTCCACGTCCGCCGTATGCGTTCTTCAACAGATCCGAAGCTTCCTCCGGAGTGACTTTGGGGCAACTTCGGACCAGATGGTCGAGTGCCCCGCATTTGAGACATCCACCCCGCGGTGCACCGGCACCGGGTGGTCCTTGTTTGAGCCGCCGCCGCCGGTGCGCACTGCGCCGGCATTGCCCTTGGGCGTCTTGGTAGGGTTGATATCCTCGGGCCGGAGACTCACGAACCTCTGGTACGAAGTTGCGTACTCCCGCAGCCATTGCACGAAGTCGTACATATTCTTTTTCAGGTCCTTGTTGTGCGTCTCGCCGAGGACTTCCTTGACCATTTCCTTCAGGCCCGCCGGCCTGATAGCATCGGTGATGAGGACGACCATCATCTTGGCCTCGGCCTTGAGGACCCATTCCTCGTTGTTCTTCTCGATGACTTTCATCATGTCTTCAATCATCTAGCTGATCCGCGAATCCATGTCCGCGATCCTTGAGTTTCCGGGTGACGGAAAGTTGTACATCATACCCGAGGCGAATCCAGGCGATCCACTCGGCCTCCGTAACGAGGCCGACCGGCTTCCGAAGCTCCCAGTCGGCCACGCGCGACTTCGTGGCGTGCTCGATGCACGCCGACACAGGCATTACAAATGGCTTGGTGCGGTTCGTCCGCAGGGCGTTCACTTGCTCCAAGTAGTCGTTGTACTTGCGCATAAATTGCCGGCGGTGCTCCTTCGTCATGCCATCCAACTTGGGCGCGTGAGGAATCGCCGGCGCGTTGTAGACGATTCGGTCTTCGAACCACCCCATGTCATCAACATCGATCTCGTAGCCCGGCGCAGCTGCTCCGGGTGCTGCGCCACCTGTCGGGGCACCTTGGGTTGCCGGCTGCACAAGCGTCGGCGTGGTTGGGGGTTGAAATACAGGCGCCTCCACGTGGCGTCTTGCAGTTGCTGGCACCGGGAGCGCACCGCCAGGCAGCGCACCACTCGCAGCTGATGGGGCCACTACCGGGGTCTCCCATGCATTTTGACGATTCCAACTGACGGCCGCTACGGGCTGACGGCCACGGGGCGACCGAAAGGGTTCCGGTCCGCTCTCATCCCGCAGCTCACGGTCCGCCGACACTCGGCGGTTTCGTCCACCGCCGCGAGCGCGTGGTGACACCGCCTGCTCATCGCGCTCGGAGCTCCTCGACCGGCGCGGCGATCCGCGCGCTTCGGATTCAATCCGTTCGAGGTTTATGGTTCCTTCAGAATCCATTCTTCGATCTTGTTCGTTCGCCTTCCGCGACAACAACGTACCGCTTGGTTGACCAGTGGTAACTAAAGAATTCTTTGTTCTCACGCCCGGGCCTTCCACTCGGCGCGTGGGAGGCTGATCAAAGGGTGACGCTCACAGTGAACAAAAGTAAGAGTGCCTTAGCAGTAGAATCCACTGACTACGGGCTACTGCCTAGCAGCCAGCCAACGAAGTGTTGCACTTGGGCCTGGTACCGTAGGCGACACCGCAAGCACTCTGCGGATGCCCGAACCTCCGCGAGGGCAACGCACATCGCGTGGGCGATCCCACGGGAACACAGGATCCATTCCACCGGTTGCGCCGTGACGCGAACCATCCATTTGCCATGAGCAAACAAGTATGGGGCCTGGGATGCCAGAAGCAGCTCAAAGAAGGCCAGAGCATCTTCGTCGAGCAGGTGGTTGGCTGAGTCATCTAGCTTGCACTCCATCGAGTCAACCAGGACCATGCTCGAATGCAGTTGCTTGAACGAGTGCTGAGTAGCCAATATACGTGTGATCATATTGAACGCGGGTATGAAGCTGTGTCCAGTCCGGAAATTATTGGCTGCTACCCATCGGTGCCACGCGTGCAGGCGGACCGCTGCCGCTAACGCGCGCGGATCTGTGCTTGAAAGATTGTGCCAACCAATGTTCGCTTGAAGGGGATACTTTGAGATGGCGTCCCACAGGGCATCGGCTTGGCAAGCCTCCGTGGCACGTTGGATGTCCACCCACTCCGCTTGTTGGGCCTGGATCCAATGGTCAGGTGACGATGATGTCGCGCTGTCGATTGCCGATTTCTCCAGGAAATCCTGGATCTGGGCCAGTGACATTGCGTTCACATCAAAACACACCACCTCGTTGTCATGCTCTCTCTGGGAGACAGGTTAGAGACGTCGGACCGTTGAAACGTGGGTAACACGGACGCGATCGAATCTTGTGCATCCCATTGGTGCTCGCGGAAGCCAGCTTCCAATGTTGCCAAGGGGGCATAAAAGTTTGGAGTCGCCCACGTGTCGAGGCTGAAGGAAAGCTTTTGAATCATCGAGTACCGTTGGCCATCGCCACGTGAAACAGGGCGGAAAGGAACGATTTCGAAGTTTGTCACGACGGCTGTGGGCTCGTCGGTCTCACTGCTATATTCCATGTCGAACGTGTCGTGATGCTCTTGAGTCGCCGCCTTTCGCTCGGGGTCCCGATAATCTGACTCTTGGGATTGAGCGACCGAAGCTTGTAAAGACGACAACAACTTGGGATCTGCGCCCTGGGCACGTGGTCGCCAGAGCCCTCAGTAGATGACTTGATTGAGCAAGCTTGGGAAGCGGGGGGAGATGGTCGGTTCGGTGGCGGGAGCTGGGGAGGGTCAACAGAGGCTGGTAGGCTTGGGGGGTCCTGCGGCTCCTGCTTGGTCCTCTTGCGTTGTCTCGTTGACTTCTCCTCCCCCGAGGTCTGTTGCGTAGATGAGTTGTGAGAGGGTGGGGACTGGTCCTCCTTGTCATCATCGTCAGACTTGTCCTCGCGAGGGCGCTTGGTGTCTAAGTCCAAACACAAGAGAGACTTGTGTCCTTCCCCTTTGACGATCGGAACAGGTTTGACATTATTGAAATACACTGGAAAGTAACGTAAGGGGACAGTTTAGTGAGCACTTTTTGTGACTTCTGACTACGATGTCGATATCTCGGTCATTTCTCACCCGATTTCAATTCTGAAACCTGCATTGTCTGGAGAGGTGACCACCAAGTGCAGTGACACCGGCAGATTGGTTGTTGGGTTGATTCTAAGGTAAATAAGCCACAATTATGATGCAACTTTGATCACAATTGGTGCGGCAGTTTAAGGTACACGAAAATATCTTCAAATTTGTATTCAAAAATGCTTATTTTTTAGAGGTTAGGTTACATCTTTTGAAGAGGTAAAGTTTCATTTTCGAGGGGTATACAGTTTGAGAAGGTTCTTGGTCAGCGTGGTCAGCCAGAAAATGTCCCATGGAGGTAACATATTCATTTGGGTTTCAAGGTACATGAGATCTAGGCTTCTTACACTACGACCTCTTCATTGCTTGCATTCACAGCCCCATTTGGCATAGGTTGCAACCCTCGGATGGCTGCCGAGGCAGCCCATATCAAGGCGACGTCCGACAGCACCATGCGCTTGGCCTTCTTCGGCGCGCTTGGCCACGAGTGCCTTTTGAGTTTGGCGGCTTCAACTCTGTCCTTCTTGGCCTTGTCGATTTCGCGCAGGAGTGCCAAGGTAAGATTTCTCCCACCAACATCAATTGTTTTTCTTGACTGCTTCTTTTTTTCGGCCTCGGGTGGAAGACACAAAAGGTGGCATCGGAGTGTCTCGCGGCGCTCAATCCAGTTGGTCTCAAGGTAATCCTTGGGTACGCCCCCTTGCTTGAAAAGATTGAATCTATATATCATTTTTTGTCCTTTGACAGGGGCCATAGACGAGTGGCGGAGAAACCGCTGACAACAATTGGCCTCACCACTCGTTGCGCCCATGCGTTAGACGCAATTCGGAGTGCCTTGGACTTGGAACTGCTGTGTAAGTCACCTGACACTACGTAATTGTGAATACATACTTGGACATCTCGTGTACCGTCGTTTATCATTTCATCAAAGATGCCCTTTCGGATTTCAGTCTCGTATGGTCCAAAGACAGCCACATCCAAAGGTTGGAATAAATGAGTTACATTTGATGGCAAACATAGCAAAATAATATTTAATGTATCGCACAATTTCACAATGTTCATTGAGTAGTGAGATGCAAGCCCATCAAAACCAAGAGAATGGGACGTTGGATAGACGCATTCAATGTTTCAGAAAAATGTGTAATCCACGCTGAAAATACATCCTCATTCATAAATCCTTTTGGAGAAGTAGAAATCGATGCACCAGGCACTGAACCTTCTGAACTCAATGATTTGTCAATTGTATCTCCAGGAAACAAAAACATAGGAGGAAAAATATATCCTGACGCACTACAGCATGTCACAATTGTCAAATCAAAATTCGGAGGAACTGTTTTGGGCCAAACATTTTGAGAACCTTTCAGGGCAAAAACTGACGTACTTTTTCGTCTGGATGCAAACGCGGTTTCGTCCATATTGAATACTCTTTCAGGTGTGAGCTTGTGTGTTTTGATCGCTGAGCACATGGCTTGGTAAGCCGCTCGACGCCGTCACTGCATTCCTGGCATTTGAGATGACTTGTGCCAATCTATGCGTGAGCTGGGGATGCCGCTGCTTGAAACGTTTGATCCAACTTCTTGATAGTGAAAGTGCTGGGTCGAGGTTGCGCAGAAGTTGGTTGGCCTTGATGATGATGGCTTGGTTGTCAACGGGGTGGCCATCTTGCTGCATGGCTCCAATCCATGCAACAAGGTCAGCCTCATAGCTCGCAGGAAGGGTTGGTTTTGTTCCTCGGCGCTTCGGTGTGCGTGCTTGACCAGCCTTAGCCGCACGCACGATTTTCATTAGGGTTGTGTAGGGTATTCCAGTCCTAGCGGAGACTGCTTTGCCATTTTCACCCTTGACAACATCAAGGAGAGCAGCCTCGAGCAGCTGGGGTCTGTATCGACCACGTGACCCTGCCATGAAGGCGCCAAAACAGCCCACGATCGTATCAAGTTTGGGAAGTTTGCCGCCTAAAAGCCCTGCGGTCAATTTCCATGCTCCTTAAACTGCCCCGTGCTCACTAAACTGCCCCCTTAGGTTAGTGTTTTTGCAAGCGAATTTGGTTGATCGCCACGCCGTGAATTCGAAGTTGGTCTGGGACTTGGTTAGTCGTGAAGTAGGCTCTCCATACACCATTGTGTCAGACGCAGAGAAGAAATTGCGATAGGCTTGGTTGACCACGTCGTGGCCCGGGTCTGATAGGCGAGAGTACAAGACCGTTCTATCAAACGTGTCCTGCAGACCAACCACATCCATGTAAACAAAGGCGTCGAGTGGGTGAGACACACGTTCAGGGATGTTGTGCTTCTTACCCATGATGGCAAGTTTTTGGCCACCAAGTGTCGAGGCAACAAGGGACGACGTAACTGACACCAGTAAACCGCCCTTCGCCAGTTTCGTAGCTTGGACAATGTCGTTGAGGAGGGGCGCGACCACTGTAGACTGACGGCTGGAGTAGATCGACGACATGATCGCCTCTACTGAATTGTCTTTCATCGCCAATCCTGTCTCCACCACAACGCGGTCTTGGGCGTGCTTGATGGGGCATGGGGTGGCCTGGTCAATGAGACCCAAGATAGAAATGCGTTCCTTGGCCGGTTTCTTGTATTCTTCAAGAATTTCAAGAATCCGCTCAGCAGTGGGCAGTGTCGATTCTGCCCTAATCATTTGACGATCGCGAAGGTCTTTCGTCACGTCGGGGGAGGTGGGACCTTCGCCTGGCCGTTGGCGGCATTGGCCGTATCGTCCGACGACGAAAAGCGTTGACCAACATTCAGGTCTTGGCCACCACTGAAGGGTTGGTGGTTCCTATCACCCTCTTGCTCCAAGCCTTGTGTGGATGGTTCAGCACGGTCGGAGACCGAGGCCGCGGCGTCGATTCTCCCTTGGCTAGCCGAGGGTGTAACCGTCGCTTTCGTGGTCTTTGAGGAGACGGCAGGGGATGCGGACGAACCCATGTCAACGTCATCGCAGTCGTGATCTTCGTCTTCGCCATCAGCGTCGCTCCCATCGGCATCGGCATCCGACTCCATGTCGTCATCGTCCAAGTCCGATTTCAAGTTCTCATCCGAAGATGCTGGAGCGTCTCCAGACAGCGCGATCGCGTCTTTTGAGGACTTGGGGTCCCCACTGGACGAGTTGGCATTAGTGTTGACAAGTTCAGCGCACTTGATCGCCCGTTGAGTTTGCATGATAGCGAGTTACATTTCTTCTTCAATAAGAGAGTAATTGGTAATGATTTGAGAAGTGCCTCTTTGGTCTAGTGGTATGATTCCTGCTTAGGGTGCAGGAGGTCCCGATTTCTATCATCGGAAGAGGCCACTTTTTTCACAACATCGTCGAACGCTGCGGTGGAGTAGGAAGCCTTGACGACATTACAAGTCGGGATTAAATATGTTATCCACAGCAGTCGCCTCGACTGTAAGTGTACTTGAGACCTTGCTCGAGATGCGTATTGCTTTTGCACCGTTCAAACCGGTTGCTTGAGATCTTGCCAAAGACTTGGGGCTGATGAAAGTACCGAACCCACGGGAGAATCGACGGGACCAGCACGTAAATGCTCACGACAAAGTACTCGGTGGCGCTTCGGAGGCGCTGCGCGTGCTGGCGAGCGGCGGCGGCGTCGTCAAGTAGAGCGCTGTGGTTCCCCTTGTGTCCGTTGCCCCCCGTATGGAGGACATGCGTGTCCACCCTATCGTGGGAGCTGCTGTGGTGGCTCGACACGTAGACGTGGGTGTTGTGCGTCTCGCCCGACATGGCGTAGTGGACCGCGCGGGTTTTGTCGCGAATGGTGCAATACCCCAGCAGCACCATCAAGCTTGGCTTGCAGTACAGCTTGTTTCCAATCGAGATGGTATTCTTGTGGTCCAAGTCGAGGCTCGTGACCCACTGGGGCATGGGCAGTTGGCTCACAAAGTCGTTGTGACTCGTCCACGACGTGTCGAGAACGACGTAGCCCACGAGAACCTTGTGCGCAGCAATCGAGGCCACCCACGCTGCCACCACACACACGATCAAGTCTGGCATAAGGAGGTAGATGACAGGCGTCGTGCCCTGCGTGTCGGTCGCTCCCGATTTGTACAACGTCCCGTTGATGTTGAGGAACAATGTGTTGCCTCCGTGGTTCCAAAACGATTCGGCTTGGACTGGTCCTTGCGACTGAGCTGCCTCAACGATCACGACAAACAGCACCGTGCAGTAGACAAAGACGGGAGCCGAGTAACATATCGGTCGGTTGAGCCATCGCACGGGAACTGGCAGCCATTGGAGGCTTGTCAAGAGGGCTATCCACGACAGCGCCATCATCACTGCGATCATGAGGAGCGAGAGAGACCAGAAGTGATACCCGGTCACGCCGTAGCTGTACCGAATCGCGTCGGCGTAGAGAGGGGAGAAGAAGAAAGTGCACACGAGCGACACCAACAGCACCTTGCGCCGCTCCAACGACGCAAGGATGTCGTACGTGAGCACAGGTTTGTTCTTTAGCAGCCCGGAGAGGCCTTCCAACGTGATCACACCGTCGTTGCTGAGCAGCGCGAGCGACACGGCGCAAATCAAGATCTGAAACGCGAGCAACAGCATGTAGTTGTCCACGTTGTGCGAGTTGTCCCAGCCAAGCGTCGTGGCATACCCCGTCGTTTTGCCGATGTGGTAGCCGTCAATCTTGTTGGCCGCCACAAGGGCCGAGATGTCGACGAAATGCACGACGAGCCATACTTGCATGAGGAAGAAGCGGTTCAAGCTATTGAGCGACGTGGCGTAGTTGGGCTGGTTCCACAATGTTGGCGTCGTGGTGCCGTCGGTCGCGATAATCGTCTTGGACACGGACCGCGTGACGGGAATTCGAACCCCCATCGTGTCGACTACGTCCACCCGTTCCACGGGCTTGGCGTCCGAGAACGTGCTCAGGAGAAACGCGCCGTTTGGGAACACTGCCGTCGTGACTGCTTCGACTGCACTCAGCCCCAAGATCTCTTGACGCGCCGTGGGTCGGCACAGCGGGAAGTCCCGCTCGCCCACCACGAGGGACACCGACGCGGTGACATCAACACTGTTGGCAGCAAGACATGACGTGACAAAGACCGTCGAGTTGTGACTCGCGATGCGCAGGTCCAGGGCCAGTTGGGCGCCGATGCTCTGCCAGGGCAACGCCCCCGTTGCCGCGACTTCTACCTCACTGCACGAGGACGGCACAAAGCCCGCAGCGTCCAGTCGACACGACGTGCTGAGGGTGGTCCATGCTTCCGGAGGCTTCACGTAAACATACGTGCTTTGAAACATGCCTTGGCTGACCAGCACAACGACGAGGACACCCGTGCCGAGGATCAAAAGCCCGGCCACGAAGTTGCTGATCACACGAAACCATTTTGCGAGGTACGCGGTTGTGAGAGAGGGCGCGATCGTCCGCGACGGGGCCATCCGCGCGGTTTGTCGGCGTGAATGCCTAAAATTGGACGGACGGGTTGTTGGGCATGGCCAAAAATAACGACGAGCCCAACCCATCCTCGTGGCCAGCATGTCGGGAGAGGCACCGGGCGAGTGTGCAATTCGTTTCGCCGATTTCAGTCTCGACGTCCATGCAACAGTCGTAGCTACGACTCAAGTGGGCGCGAAGCGTACCTCGAAACGTAGTAGATCTGTCTAGAGCTCGATTCCTCTGTCCTCTCCATCGTCTGAGATTCGCACAAGTCCCTCAAACAAGATCCCTCTGCGTTCGCATAATGGCGGCAAAATTGGCAAGTCTCTCCCACGTGGTGTCGAGTGCTGGGGAATGTATCTGGGGGGCTCCTCCTCATCAGCACGGGCGTTGGGATGTTCTTGCTGCTCCACGAAGCGTGGCCACTTCTCGAAGGGGGCATTTCTCGACTCTCTGAACGATCGAGAGCGAAACAATAGTGGATACAAATGGTGCCCAAAGTACATCCGCTTCGACGCCATCGGTATTACCGACGCCGCCCGCGCCCCAACGCGGAGGGATCCACCAAACTCGATCAAAGACAATCCACTGCAATCGAGGTACTGCATCATGCAGTTGTGGCCCACTTTGCCTTGATCGGCACCTCCATGCACCTGTTCCGGTTGCTGTGTGCCATAGCGCAGTTAGTAGTCAGTAGTAATGGCGTGGTCGCGCAGGAATGGCTCTGCGGACGCCTCCAGAACCACGGTGTCCTCACCTACCACTGGAACCTTCTGCTTTAGCTGCACTAGGGCATGCTTTTCACGTTTTCTCGCTGTGCCCCCATCTTCCTCAAATACAGTAGCAAATGTGCTCATTGTTGATGGAGTGCAAATCGAGGCTAGCGACAAGGCAACGGCTTCTGTGTGGACGTGAATTCCAGCCTCTGTACGGACAAGCGTGGACGGTTTGCAGTTTGGACAGCAACGCGCCTGTTGTAAATATCCTGGCGCCAGACTTGGTCGCGAGACTGATACCGATTGTGTTCTTTTGAACTATGCCATTCTCGACTCCTCCTCGGCTTGCCACGACACAGTTTGGCCCAAAGTTGACTCTCTGCGCTGATCTCGAGATCGGAGGGCCATGCCAACAAGCTGAACAGCGACCCAGCCATACTGGCCCCTCGCTGATTGACGCCGTGCGTACAGGACACCACGCATCTCCCTGCGTAGAGCACAAGACGATGCCGTCGGTGGCGAGCAGCTCCACCGACCGAACGCCCGGCCACGCCACCATTATGTGGCGTCATCCTCCGCGACTTTAAACGCCACCTTCACAACACTGCTGTCCCCCACCCAACCGACTCTCGTTACCAAGCACGTCGCGACGAGAACACGTTCGTAAGGAACGTCGTCTTGGTTCCAACGCTGGTCCAGTCGATGGCGGATGGGAAAACGCCTTCCGTCGAGTTTGACTTCCAGTCGAAAAATAGATTGCCATGGGCAAGACCGCCTTGGACCAGGCGACCCTCTGCATGTTGATGCGGAAAACCTCCACATTGCGCCGTCACGATGACTCGATACTTGCAAACACCTTTCTTTCACCACCCACTCGACTGCCCTGTGCGAGAGAATAGCATCTCCAACGATGACACTTGAGAATGTGAGATTTGATGGTACCCTTCGGCATGGATGGGGCACTCCAAACCCATGGCTCGAGTTTGTCCGGTGCGCGTGCAGGTCGAGGCTGCCACCGTAGGGCTGGGATACCTTGGCGCTTCAAATCCACTCCCACGCAACCAACGTGGCTTCCTCATGACTTTTATTCAACCCAGCCTACCCACAGCAGTCTCCGCGGCTGTACGCGTAGTTGGCCTTCTTCCGGAGTCGGATGTGGCTCTTGGTCAATTCAAACTTGTTGCTTGCGATCATGCCAAACACCTTTGGCGAGTACACCCAGGTTCGGATCCACGGCACGATGGCCGCGACTAAATCGTAGATGC